TGTAGATGCTTTGACAATTTCTTTATGAACAATGCATTTCCCAGTTAGGCAAGAAGTCTGCCTTGTTGTAATCACTGTTCTATTTTAGGCAAGACAGTATGCATTTCCTTGTTTTACTTAACTAAAATAAAAATCTAATTATCATGGGATCAACTTGCTCAATACTTGTTACATAAGGTCGCATCCTCTAGTACAAAGAACACTGTCTCTGGGGTTAGACTGGCTGCGCTACTATTCTTTGCCTTAAAGCCAACATCTTTCTCTCTCACCCAGTAAAACGAGGGTGTTCATTTAGCACACAGGCTCCAGAACCCAAGGATTCTACCTTGGAATCCACAAGGAGGTATGTTAAAAATGCAAACTCTCTGAACCCTTGGCTCACACGGGGTCTTGCGATCCCTCTAGTGCCCCTAACATCCCATGACTTTCTGGAATAAGGCTGAGCACATGAAAAGAGAACCACTTCCCTATTAAGGATGAATTTCCAAATTTCAATTCCCTTTTGGAGTCAGTGCAGAGCAGGGGTAATTCAACACTTGACAGACGTTGGCGTAACCCCAAGAAGCACACACACAGCTTCCACGGGCCGCTAAGAGCTTTCTGAAGAGGCGTTCCAAGCTGACCAGTTGGTAGGGGTCTGACCAGACAGGCAAATGATTGTCTAAATCAGCGTGTCCTTTACCAGATCCGTACATGCTCTACACACGTAGGGAATACATGTGTGTGCACAGGGTTCGGTGCCATTTCGCTCGAGAGACGGTGCTTGCTTTCATGCCATTAAGAACCCCGATTCTGAACTCTCTCAGTCAGCCTCGCCAGGCAGAGGGCACGGTGCTGCCAACTGTGCTGAAGGACACGTGGAAGACTAAGACAGAGGAAGGACAGAAGTGAGACCCTCCCAAGGCAGAAGAAGGAAAGCACGTCCAGACCGGTGTTAGTGAGGGTTCAGAGTTCAGAGGAACAAAGTCTCCTTCCCGTTCAAGCAATCCAAGAGAGCCGCCAGTTAGGCTGGGCCTGGCGGGAGGGAAAGAATGGTTTTTACGAAGGTGGTGGGCAGGGTGAGCAGCATCCGAGAGGCAGCTGTGGCCCGCTGACGTCCAGGCAGCTCTGCAGAGCGGGAACGCCTCGCTCGGATTTCCGAGTACCCAAGACTCGCTCTTTGAGACTCACTCCTACAGCAGACACGACTTCGGGTACTCATAGCTGGGCTGACGTGCCAGCTAAAAGCCAGACAGCCCATCAGTGGTGAAGGCTCCTTCGCTAACGAGTCCACCTGGCTGGCCACCGACAGGCCTGAGGTCTCCTCCCCCATGAGCAGACACAGACACTGCAGACATAGCTGTCATCGCCAAGGCGCGGGAGCTCAAAGGTCTCTGCCCATCCCCACGGGAGCCTCAGGGTTCTGTGGTGCGAACGGTCCAGACAACGGAGAGACAGAAGGTTCAGGAAAGGAAGGTCACTTCGTGTGTGAGGGCCCTGAGGATGGCTGAGTGGTCCTACCCTATAACAACCTCTGGGCTCGAAGAAGCTTCGTCCTGCAAAACTACAGAAGACGGACGAGACTGGGGGCAGGAGGAGGAACCACGTGGCCAAACCCTGGGACCATAAAGGCCAATGGTGATCTCTAAGTGAGGTACTCAGTAGGATCCGAGGACCAGGGCGATGGCCTCGAAGACACTACCCCACGGCTTTAACTCAGGTCGCACCGCATCGCCAGAGAGCACAGAAATGGAGAAAACTACTGAAAAGGGGTAAGAGGGATGGCTTCACTGTCTCCCCAGTAAATGAGGAAATGGTTCAACCCCGCAATGCCCTGTAACCAGCAGAGATGCAGGGCATTATATGTGGGTGTAGCAAAAGCATTAGTGTCTTAAAGGACAAACAATTTTTGTGTTGAAATTCTTCCTTTTTCTGATACACGGCAAGCCTCCAAAACGAAAGCGGCTGAAGCCTCCTCTCTGGGGTCGTGAGTTGACTCTGGGCATCGGGTGAAATGGTCACGAGCGCGTAAGCCGGGCGTTGGCCCTGCCGAGTGCGCGTGCGCAGAGAGGCGCTGGAGCCGCGTGACACATGACCCGGCGGCCGAGAGAGGACCTGACATCTGCTCGAGGCCCCGAGGCGAGACCGATTCTGCAGTGTCCAGGACAGGATCACTGGGAGGACTACGGTGTTCTTAGGAAAGGAGAAAGTCAGGGGAGGAGCATGAACGAGAGGATGAGTTCCACGTTGGGTGTCTTGGGAATTCTTTTTGTCTGTTCGGCTTCCGTGAGCCAAAGTAACAGCACTGACAAGGAGACCTCCGCAGGGCACAGGGAGCAGGTGGGGACCTCTCGTTGCCACCAGAGTCAGAGAGCTTTCTGCCTGTGCTCCTTATTCTGGAGACCAAGGGTATCCCCCACCCTGCAGCGTGCACGCCTGCCAATGACAACGACAGAGAAGGCACTAGAAACCATAGAACCAGAGGGACCAAGACTAAAAGGGACCTTGGGGATCATCCCAGCCAAACAGCCTTTCTACAGGTGAAGATCCCAAGACACACAGAGGCGAAATCACGCGCGCGTCCCTAGCCGTGGAGGCAGATCTCACGTTGAGCCCTCTTGGTTCCCTCCTGCCACCGGAAGCACGTCCAGACTCGTGCTCCCTTCCCCCACCTTGGGGAGCGCAGTGCTTCCCCTGCAGGAGTACAGACGTTTGTCCCCACGTACGTTTGGCAGGCGGCATCCTCTGCTCTAACCGTTGGGGGAGAGAAGCCTGGGGACTGGGGTGGGGGTGGTGTTCTCTAAGCAGGTTTTTACCAAACTTTTTTTTTTTTTTTTTAAAGATTTTATGTGTTTATTTGACAGAGAGAGACACAGCGAGAGAGGGAACACAAGCAGGGCTTCTTTTAACAGTGACTCATGTTACTAATTCTATGAGCCAACGAACCACTTTTAAGAGAAATGACATCTGTACATATTCTTCTATATATGGAACCTGAAATCAAAGAGTTTACTAAAAAAAAAAAAAAGGGAAGATCAGATGTTCACACTGGAATAAAGTATACATTTTGTGTGTTTGAGTAGGAAAAAAAGAAGCCCTCACTACAGCTCACTACTCATTTTTTTTTTAATTTATTTATTTGACAGAGAGAGATCACAAGCAGGCAGAGAGGCAGGCAGAGAGAGAGGCAGAGAGAGAGGAGGAAGCAGGCTCCCTGCTGAGCAGAGAGCCCGATGCGGGGCTCGATCCCAGGACTCCGAGATCATGACCTGAGCCGAAGGCAGCAGCTTAACCCACTGAGCCACCCAGGCGCCCCTCACTACTCATTTTTACAACACTCAAGAAGGAGCTTAATAACATATGTGTAAACCATAAACATCTCAAGAATGAGGAAGGAAATTTCAAGAAGAGCACTGCTATCTCAGCTACTTCAGCATTATGAAATGCCTTCTTATAGTCAGAATTTATGGGAGAAAAAATAGACAAAGCAGATTATATTAAGAAAAAAAAAGAATAGGGGCCCCTGGGTGGCTCAGTGGGTTAAGCATCTGCCTTCAGGTCAGGTCATGATCTCAGGTTCCTGGGATCACTTCCCGTGTCCGACTCTCTGCTCAGCAGGGAGCCTGCTTCTCCCTCTCTCTCTGCCTGCCTCTCTGTCTACTTGTGATCTCTGTCTGTCAAATAAATAAATAAATAAATAAATCTTAAAAAAAAAAAAGAAAGAAAGAAGAAAAAGAATAATGCTACAAAGCTCATGTTAACATAGTCTTTTAGTTTGCTTTGAATAATAATTAGAGAAGAAATTGAGGCAAAAAGGCCCTTCCGCTCACATAAAATGTTAGTTGAAGAACAGCTCGTCATCAAATTTCCTTCATCTCCATCTCAGTTTTCCAAGGAAAAGCTCCAGAAAGAGCAAATGGTAAAGAATAAGGTAAGTCTGGAGAGATGATTGAATGGGGATGAGATCCTTATTCGGACATATGTTTAAAAATTTCAAGTAGTCTGTCTAGAAATTCATTAATCTGAACTGGAAACTGCAGTTTTGCTATGGAAAGATAAAGGCATATCTCCAAAGCTTTACGCGCTTTCGTATATTGCTAGCGAGGCAAGAGCAACTACTAGAGCAAGACCGCATGGAAAGCAATTTACCAATATCTATCAAAATCACAAATGTATACAACATCCTCTGGCTCAAAAATTCCATTTCTAGGAGTGGATCTTATAAACAAACTTGTACCTATACAAGGTAATTTTCAGCAGCAAGATCTGTCTTCTACCAGAAGACTATAAACAGCCCAAATGCCCATCCCTAGGATCTCTGTTAAATAAGTCACAGTACAACTGTGCGACAGAACACCCGTGTCTGCAGAACTGAATGGTGAAGTCTTCTATGTACTGTATGGAAAGATCTCCAAAATTTTAAGTAAAAAATTCAATGAACAAAAGAATATGCATTATACTCCAGCTTTTGCATTAAAACAGAAGCAGGGGAAAATAATCTCTATGTTTGTATTTGTTTCTAAAGAAATTTTTTTAGAGCTAAGAAATTCAAGAGATTTTGGAAGGATGCACACAGACCCGGGAAGGTGAACAGCGAGACGGGAGGGAAGGATTTCGCTGTACGGCTTTTTATTTCCTTTAAAGTTTTGAGCCATGTGAATACCTTGCCTATTCAATCAATTAATTTTCAACCACCAAAAGCTATCTCCTTAATGCTCAAAACATTTCAGGAATAAGATGCTTCCTTACAACAAAGAAAGCAGAGATTTCAAATAAAACTGACCTTTGAATCCTTAAGCAAAATCTGAAATAAGATGACTAGTCCTTGGTTCTTTCTAAGAAGTATTTTTACAGGCCTTGCGTACGTGTGACACTTTTAGTACTTTGGGCCTAAAACATAACCCCATTTCAATGCTTCCGGGTTAAATCTCAAACCTGGTCACAGACATGAAAACCAGCCAAATTCCAGCCACGCCGGTACTTCTCCGAGTGTGCCTGCCTCGCCACGGAAACACCCATACCTTTGGCAGAATTGTTCTTCCTCCCGTGAGGGATACGGTGAAGGCAAAGAATATATCCGTCTTCTGTCTCGATGAAGTGCTCCTCACTAGGGAAACCCCAGTGAACGATAATTTCACTCTATGGAGAGAAAGAATATTGGAAAATCTCTGGACAGAATGGGACAAGTTCTTCCCACATTAGCAGGCAAAGGAGAAGACAAGATGTCCGCAGACATTCTCCAGGCTTTAAGAAAAGTTGTTACTGAAATTTTAGTGTGCTCCGTCAAGCAGCACGTTCCATCCAAGAATAAATCCCCCACCTCTTTCATCCATCTGTCCCACTGACAGGCGTGTGTTTCGACATCTGAGCATGGTTCGACACCAAATGTGTCTGATTTCACCACTGCTTTGGGCCTCTCTGTTTCCATCCTGGCTTCACAAATAAACACACTTCTTTCTTTCTTTCTTTTCTAAATATGCCAGCTAATATCACGATCTACCACTATCTTCATTTTAAGAGGTCCTGTCCTGGGAAACAGAGCGCAGCACTAATCCGTTTTCATCAATGAACTAATAAGCGAATGCTAACGGAGGACACTATACAATGCACAATGGCAAGGGAGAGCTGAAGAACAAGAAGACATGAGAAACAGGAAAGTATGATCAAAATCACTTCTCCAGTCCAAGGAGCTCGGTGGGATATGGAGAATTCAATTATCTAGATTTAATGTGAGTGCTCACTATCTTCTCTAGCCCAAGTATTTGAAAGAATTTAATTGTATCATCTTATAGTAAAAAAAAAACAAAACTTGAAAGGAGGGGGAGGAATAAAAGAAAAAAATTGGGGATGAGAAGTAAACCTTGACCTTAAGACCCTGATTATATTCTCTTGACTCACTATGGATTTATCTGCCTCTAAGAGGGCCTTGATTTCAGTGGGGTCACTGCCATCATCTGCTTCAAAGTAACTATTTTGGGGGCATCTGGGTGCTCAGTCAGTTAAGCGTCCAACTCTTGATTTCAGCTCAGGTCATGACCTCAGGGTGGGGAGATCGAGGCCAGAATCCAGCTCCTCACAGAGCATGGAATCTGCTTAAGATTCTTTCTCTCCCTCTCCCTGTGCTCCTCCCCACCATGCTCACTCTCTCACTCTCTCTCTAAAAGAAGTAATAATTTTAAAAAATAGTTACTTTCTTTAGTCATTTGCATTTTCCCAATATTTTATGCCTAAATGAGGTATTTCCTGGTTTTATTGTTTACCTATGATTAGTAACTTTGAAATGTGTCAATTACTCAACAAATTATATTGCTTATTGGTTCCAACAAAAATTTTTTTCGGATTATTTTGGTTTTTGTATCGAACCATGCTCCCTGGACATTGCTTTCACACTCCTTGTTCAAAGTATTTCCTTGTTCAAAGTATTATAAAAGCAGCAGTTGGTAGTAACACTCTTGGCAAGTCTTGCGACATTTTTATCGTTCTTTCAACAAATTCAGTTAACTTAAAAATGAAATGAACTTACAAAATTTTCTTTTCCTGCATTAAGAAATATGTAGTTTTAACAGTTAAGTGCAGTTCATAAAGTACACATTACCTGGGGGAAAGTCAGCAAACTGAATCTAAGATTCAGAAAACGTGAAAAGTGCAATACTATATAAAGAGATTAGTTTGTGGCTTCATGTAGCCCATGTAAGAGAATTGCAAAAAATCCCCGACATCTGTCACAGAAGCATTTTAAAGATTTTATTTATTTATCTGACAGAGACAGAGAGATCACAAGTAGGCAGAGAGGCAGGCAGAGAGAAAGGACAGGAAGCAGGCTCCCCACTGAGCAGAGAGCCCGCGGGGCTCGATCCCAGGACCCTGAGATCACGACCTGAGCCGAAGGCAGAGGCCTTAACCCACTGAGCCACCCAGGCGCCCCATCACAGAAGCATTTTAAAAGCATCCTTGAGACTCTGAGAAACTTACCACATTCATATTTGTCTCCGGATCCAGATCTGCCAGACTGTCTCCGGACACCTCAGAACGCAGGGTCCCAAGGACCAAACAGGCCGCCAATCCCAGGAGCTGCATTTTCCTTCTGTAGAAAATAGCCTCGTGTTATTTGTCTGAATTTCACTACACAGATGATGTTGGTAGATGAACGCTCCCATAAAAAGTTCTGAACCAGGTTTAGGGCAAGTAAACCTCAGGTCAAGGGCAAATAGGAAACACAGGACTCCAGCCACATCAGAAACAAACAAAACAAAACAAAAAAAGTTATTTTTTTTACTAGGAAACGCCCCCACTTGCCACCACCAGTTATCATGTGACGTCTGGAGCCCAGCATACCCACTCACCCTCTCACCATGAGGTTCACCAAACTGTTTTGGAGAAAAAATGGAGAAGAGGATTTAGAAGACAATAGCCTGAGAAAAAGAGGAAGATCCACAAAATTCCAGATCCTGTGAGCCTCCCACCTTTTCCCCTCTTACTGCGATTTAAACATTTTTAAGTTCTCATTTTTAAGCTGAGTATTAGTTCTTGCCTCCCACTGTCTATTTCTGTTCTTGTCCAGAATTACACATCAGGATTCATATTTGTCACTTAAATATTAGACTAAGTGAAGTAAGCCAGACTGAGAAGACAAATGCCATATGATTCCATATGTATGTGCGATCTAAAAAATGAATAAACAGGGGCGCCTGGGTGGCTCAGTGGGTTAAGCCTCTGCCTTCTGCTCAGGTCATGATCTCAGGGTCTGGGATCAAGCCCTGCATCGGGCTCTCTGCTCAGCAGGGATCCTGCTTTCCCTTCTCTCTCTGCCTGCCTCTCTGCCTACTTGTGATCTCTCTCTCTCTCTCTCTGTCAAATAAATAAATAAAATATTTTTTAATAAAAAATAATAAAAAATTAAAAATGAATAAGCAAACAAAAAGCAGAAACAAACCCATAAATACAGACAACTGATGGCTGCCAGAGGGAAGCGGGTAGGGGAAAGGGCAAAATGGGTGAAGGGGAGTGGGAGGTACTGGCTTCCAGTTATGGAATGAGTAAGTCACAGGGATGAAAGGCACAGCATAGGGAATAGAGTCAATGGTGTTGGAACAGAAGGTAGCTACACTTGTGGGGAACACAAGATAATATACAAAGACATTGAACCACTATGTTGCACACTTGAAACTAACATAACATGTGTCAACTGTACTTCAGTTAAAAAAGAGTAATAATAAATTTTTTAAAATAAATAAAACAAATAAAATAAATATGTCATCCAAGGAAAAGAGTGAAATGAAAGACAGCCTGAAAGAGAAACAAGATAGAAGACCACCCATTTCCCCTTCTGAGACCCACCAACCACCAACAAAGATATCTAGTTTCCACCAGTGATGTGCAAAATCACAGCACAGCACAGACCTTGGGGCTGAATGTTAAAGGCAAAGCAAAGTGAGTCTCCCAAGGAATCTGGATGTTAGCGGTAAGACTGGAGCTACAGCGCAGGCATTCTGCATTCTTAAAAAATATAATCACTTAAAAAAAGATGCATGCATGTATACCCATACAAAGACTTGTATAAAAATGTTTATAACAGATTTGTGTGTAATAAACAAAAACTGGAAAAACCTTAATACCCCAAATGGATAAATGGATAGAGATATATAGATAGATAGATATAAATATATACATATATATTTATATCTATATATATATCTATCTATCTATCTATATATCTCAGCAATAAAAAGGAATGAACACAAAATAACATGGATGAATATTAAAATAATTACAGTGAATGAAAGCCAGACCCCCCCAAAAAAGAATAAAACATATGATTCCATTTATATAATACTCTGGAAAATGCAACCTAATCTCTATGGACGGAAAGCAGATCTCAGGCTGCCTAAGAAAAAGGGCAAGAGGAAAGGATTACAAGGGGGTATGCACAAAGAATCTTTTGAGAGTGATGGGCAGGTTCACTATATTGAAAGTATCGATGGTTTTGTGGGAGTATACAGACGTCAAAATTTATACAAGTGTTCATTTAAAATAAGTCTTGTTCTTGTATGTCAATACAATAGGGCTGCTTTTCAGACTTGTGCCTAATTGAGTATTCCACAAATCTTAAGAGATAGGTTCTCAGGAGATTACCATAGTGAATTCTGCCAGTGCAAGTCCTTTGCGCTTCTCCAAAGCCATGAGGAACCCTGAACATGTAGGCAGAAAGGAATGTAACCTTGACCTGCACTGTCAAATCGAGCTCCCCGGGCCTTTACTCACAAGCTTTTATCTCTCCCTGGTGGTTGGGGAGGGCTGTATACTCCCAGGCTGCCTTTTATCATAATTCAACCTCCCCAGAGTCCTTTTTTTACTAGGAAACAGGGAGTGGATTGAAAAGGGAAAAAGAAAGGTGGTGCCCACAATTTAAAACAAAGAATCTTCTGGCAGCAGATACTTTCCACTGGGTACCGATCCCACAGAACCTGGACCAGCTGTCTGCAGAGAAGTTCCAAGATAATAGTAGCAGAAGATCCTTACCCGCATAGGTCATCCTGTTCATGTTTCCTTCCAACCAACTAGTCAAGTGATTCTCGGAAGGATGATGACTGAGAAGTATACACAGAGAAAAAGCCCCGTTCTGGGCCGGAGTCTGTGTTTTTCTGGGCTCTCTTAGCCACTTCTAGCTCAGTTCTCCCTACAGTGTAACAGTGCAAGAAAGTGCTGCGTCGGCCCTCCTTTCGCCCCAGCCCGAGGACAGGGCGGGAGTCTGACTCAACTTTGCATCCTTAGGATCTCTAGAGGGGCCCTGCACCTAGGAGATGCACCGGACAGATTTTGAAAAATGACACAGGGGTCAGTCAAAAAGTTGGGTGGTTGAAGAAAAGCAAAGCCTCAAAGCAGCCTCCCATTTTGGTTCCTAGTAATGAGTGTCGACACAACCAACAATAATTTCGGCTCCCATTAAACTCTCCTACGCTCCAGACACCCCGGCAGTGCTTCCGACCTATGTTAACTCCTGCGGCATACCGGTGCAATACCGTTAAAGCCTGGTTCCGCGAAGCTGAGCTTCACCCAGGTAGAGCACGGGAAGCAAAGGGCCAACTGGTAAGGGAGAGCTTAACCAGGGGAAGAAGGTGGCTGGGAATCAGGAATCCCGGGGGTCACCGCGATCCGAGGGCTCTGGACGGCTTCGCGGATCTGCGACCGCTCCCGTCCAGGAAATCAGAGGGCTCCCACGGAAGGAAGGGCAACTTCGGGGAGCCCCGCGAAACCTGGACCACGCGGCCCGCAGGAGAGGCGCCCGCAGGTGCTCCAGGCGGGTTCGGTCAGGAGCCAAGCGCAGGGGGTCCCGCCTGGCCGAAGAAGCTCGGGCGTGGGGGGTTGGGGGGGGCCGCGGAGGCCCGAGCTGCTGCACCCGCACCCAGCGGCGCAGCCCGGCGACACTCACCCGCACCAGTCCTCCCGGGCCACTGTGCAGAGCCGCAGTGCCCGCTACTTGAGCTGGACACCTGAAGGGGCGGGGACCGTCGGACGCGGAGGCAGGTGCCCCTCCCGGCTCAGGCTGCGCGCGCCGCCAGTCGGCACTGAGGGGCCGCCGGGAAGTGTCGCCGAGACCCCGCCCTACCCAGCGCCGCCAAGGAGCATGCGCCGTGGGCGGTCCCCATTGGGGCAGAGGCTCCTCTCCCCGCAGACCTGATCCCCAGGGGCAACTGCTCTCGGTTGCTGAGGCTTTTTCCCGCATGATCCGCACCCTCTGCACCTGGCATAGAGCTCTGGGCTCTGTAAGTGAAAAGAAATTGTGTGTTCCGTATAAAGCGCTTAGCGTTGTGCGTGATGCAGAGCGATCTTGATATACATTTTATTTTTATTTCTAAAATGCCCAGTATTAAGAGACTAGGGGTATAGCAGCCAACCAATGTCCCTGTTCTCCTGCTTACATTCCAGTGGAAACAGACACACCATGAACAGATATATAACATAAAGTAGTAGAAAGTGCTGTGAAGTACAATGAAACAGTAAAGCGACAATGAAGGAGGGCGTTGTGTTATGAGCGAGGTAATCACAAAAGGACTCTGATGAAGTGAGAACTGAAAACAAACAGGAAGCTGATTGAGAACCACGTGGATACTGGAGAAAGACAATTCTGGGGTAAGAAAATAGCATGTGCAAAGGCCCCAAAGCAGGAATGTCCTGGTAGGTTTTAGGAAGACCAGTGAGGTCGGTGTCACTAGAACAGAATGTGTTGGTGGAGAGTACTAGAACATGAAATCTTGGAGGTACTTGGGTGCTTTGGAGGGGCAATAGTGCAGACTTTGCTTTTTCTTCTGACCAAGAAGCCGGTGAGAGATTTTCAACAGAAAGACAACATTCTCTGGTTTACAGTTTAGAAAGATCACTCTGTCTGCTAGGATCAACTAGGGAAGCAGGGAGACAAGTTGGAAGTCTACTGCAATAGTCCAAGCGAGAGTTAATGATGGCTTAGAATGGGGCAGTGAGAGCAGTGGAGGTGAAGACAAATACTCGAATTCAAATGAAAAAAGCACCAAGAAGAGCAGCTTGGGAGTTGATTTTAGATGTGTTTATTTTGAGATATTCATTAGAGAGCTGTCTCAGCTAAGGCCCTGTCAGCAGACAGAACCCACTGTATTCCAAACAGAGCAAATGGTTGCACAGGTGGCAGAATTGTTGGGAAGCCAAATAGGATGTAGGCAAGCCCCAAAGAGACCAGCAACAACAGGAAGGGCGGAAGTGGTGTTAGGGGAAGAGAGGGTCACCAGACACCAGAGGTGGTTGTGTTGTGTTGAGCAGCCTCTTCCAGAGACGCTTCCAAGGCCAAGAGAGGAGGATTAGACATGTTGTGGCCTTACCTGCCTCCTGCCCTCCAGTGTCCCACCAGTACCTCCTCTGGATCAAATACAACCTGACGCTGGCTGACAGAGGAACCTAAGAAATGCAGGCTACAGGGCCCAGACCCCTACACCCTCAACGACACAGAGCAGCGGATGGGCAGGGAATGGATCTAGAGACAAAATGGCAAAGATCGGTGAGGGCACGTACACAGCTACTGTTCAAAGTCAAACCCCAGTCTGGAGACAGAGATAGAGTTTAAAGCCCCAAGACTGGGTAAAGTCTCCTAGAAAGAAAACATTAGAAACAAAGAACACACACAGAGGAAACTAAATAAAGTGAGCCGTGCAGTTGCCCCCAGATAACAGCCTGGGGAGAATTTCAAGGCTGCAGTTCAGGGAGAGGGGACCATAGTTAAAAAAAAAAAAAAAAAAAAAAAAATCCAGCAGTTTCGGGACACCTAGGTGGCTCAGTCAGTTGGACATCTGTCTTCGGCTCAGGTCATGAGCCCAGGGTCCTGGGATCCAGCCCCACATCAGGTTCCCAGCTCGGCTAGGAGTTTGCATCTTCCTCTGTCCCTTTCCTCTGCTCAGGCATTCTCTTTCTCTCTTTCTCAAATGAATAAATAAAATCTTTTTTTAAAAAATCTGGCAGTTTCTTTGCGTGGACTCAGATGAGAATTCATGAAGGCTAAGGCAATCGAGTTTGCAGGGCAGAGGAGCGAGATAGAAAGAGTTGCAGAGAGAGAAAGAGCTCTCGGGGTCTGCCGAGGGTTCCCCTCAAGTCTGGCACTGAGAAGTAACTGGAGTTTGCATATGACAAAACTATACTAGACCAGGAGAAAAAACACCTGAAAGGAACAAATGGAAAAATCTCCCAAGTTTACACAGGATTGGGAATAGTTCAGGTGGCACGGGCCAGAATGGAAAAACCTTGTTAGAGAAAAGGCACGAGGTGGAAGACTCACAAGGATATTATTGCCTTAGCATGAAGCAAAATTATCCCTGAGTAAGACTACTTCAAAGTAATCTTTGAAAATAGACCGCCAGTTGGTTTTCACAAGACAATGCCTTGGGGAAAGAATAATCATTTTAACAAACGGAGCTGGGGTGATTGGCTAGCTATATGCAAAATGGTAAACTTCGACCTTATGCAAAAATTAACTCAAAATGGACCATAGATAGACATGCATCTGAAAGCTAAAATTATAGGACTTTCTTGGGGGTGGGGGGAGTGGAAATAAGACAAAATACTGGATTTGACAAAAGGATTTCTTAAATAGAACATAAAAAGTGCAGCCCATGAAAGAAAAAACAATTAACAAACTGGACTTATTCAAAATAAAAAAAAAAAATTTCATCCTTCAAAAAGCACTTTATAACCGTAATGAGATTCCATTTCATATCCCCAAGGGTGATGGTAATAAAAAAAGGTGGATATTAGCACATGTGGATGAGAATGTTGGGACATGAAGGAAACCCAGGGGCCAGGGGGTGGGGGTGGGGGGGTAGGGGGACGTGAGATGGTACAGCTGCTTTAGATGACAGTCTGTGGTTCTTCAAAAGGTGAAACACAGTTGCCATATGGCCCAGCACCTCCCCTCCTGTGTATACACCCAAGAGAAATGAAAATTCACGTTCACATAAAACAACTCGTGCACAAGTGTTCACAGGGTTATTATTCGTAAGACCTGACAAGCAGAGACAGCTCGATGTGAGTTGACAAATGAATAAATAAAATGCAGTATGTCTGTATTGTGAATATTATTGCATAATTAAAGACAAATGAAGGACTGATGCGTGCTGCAACATGAACAAGCCTTGAACACATGCTAAGTGATAAAAGCCAGTCACAAAAAAATAAAGGGAAATAATTCCACGGACATGAAACGTCCAGAATACGCAAATCTATACAGACCAAAAGTAGATTAGTGGTTTCCTGTGGATGGGAGTGAGGTGGGGTTGGGACAATGTAAGTTGACCACTAAAGGTTGTGGGTTACTTTTTGCCCTGATGGAAGGGTTACAAATTAATTGTGGTATTCAATGCACAACCCTGTGGATAAAATGAAAGACATTTAATTGCACGCTGCAAATGAGTGAATTGTTTGGTATGTGAATTATATACCTCAATGGGCTGTTTGTTTAGACCTCATGAAAGCGGTAAGTATACACCTTACAATTTAATAACAAGATCGAAAACCCAATAAAAGGGCAAAAGGAAGTAGATGGCAAATGAAAATAAGTTGACCATCATTAGTCATTGGGGAAATGCTAACTAAACCCACAATGAGATACCACTATTCTACCCACCAGTGGCTAAAATTAAAAAGTGTTGACGATGGTGAGTAGTAAAATCTCTCGCGTTGCTGGTGGGAATGTAAAATGGTACAACGACTTTAGAAGCCATTTGACACCTTCTTAGAAGACTCTACACAGGCTTACCGTCTGACCCACCTACTGTACTCCTGAGTGCTTACCCAAGAGAAATGAAAAGTATTTGTACACAAGTGACCATAGCAGCTTATTTGTAGTAAGAAGAAACTGGTGGGGTGCCTGGGTGGCTCAGTGGGTTAAAACCTCTGCCTTCAGCTCAGGTCATGATCTCAGGTCATGATCAAGCCCCGCATTGGGCTCTCTGCTCAGCAGGGAGCCTGCTTCCTCCTCTCTGTCTCTGCCTGCCTTTCTGCCTACTTGTGATCTCTGTCTGCTAAATAAATAAGTAAAATCTTAAAAAAAAAAAAAGATGGGATGGATTATTAAAAAAAAAAAAAAAAGAAGAAGAAGAAGAAACTGGTGATGGCACATGCATCCACCAACAGGTAAAAGGAGAAATAAATTTGTATCTATATGGTGGAATATTACTCAGCAGTAAAAAAAAAAAAAAGAACTACTTTTGCACACAGCAACACGCATGGTTCTTAAAATAACTATGTTGAGACAAGACAGAAACAGTATACACACTATATGATTTCCTTTGTAGAAAATTCTAGAAAATGTAAATTAATCCCCATGATTAAAAGAATATTACTGTTTGCTTAGGAAGGGAATTGTTTTTGGAGAAGAGAGGAGGCTGGATTCCCAAGGGGGCATAAGCAAACTTTTGAGGGAGTGGATATCTTTATTTTGATCATGGCAATGGTTTTACAGCTATAGATGTATATCAAAACTCATCCAAATATACACTTAAGAATGTGAAAATGTTTATCAGTTATACCTCAATAAACCTCTTATTAATTTATTTAAGATTTCATTTACTTATGTGTCAGAGAGAGCAAACACAACCAGGGAGAGTGGCAGGCAGAAGGGGAGGGAGAAGCAGCCTCCCTGCTGAGCAAGGAGCCCCATGCAGGACTCAATCCCAGGACCCTGAGATCATGACCTGACCTGAAGGCAGACGCTTAACTGACTGAGCCACTCAGGCTTCCCTCTTGATAAATCCTTTAAAAGTGCTAATACCTGCCATTCACTGCCAGATCCTACCTAGTTTCCATACACTACCTTACTGAATCATGAACCACTCAGCAAGGTTATTTTTCCTCTCCTGCGGATGAGGATATAAAGGCAAAAGTCGTGAAAATAGCAATCAGACATAAGCAGCCCGATACCAAAAGCCCAGTTGTTATTCACAATGTGACAGCTGTATTTCATTTCTCTCCTGGGCGCAAGGCACCCTCCTGGGAGTCTTGGATCTAGAACAAATTGGCATGGGCTGCTGCCCTCAAAGACTGT